AGAGTTCCCATGTGGGAGCATTACGCTTGAGATGTCTTTCAGAAAGCCTGGCCTGGAGGTGACTGTGCGTCAGAGAGCACATCTCCCACCATGGGGGTGGAGACATGAGACATGTCCACATGATCTCTATCTTGAGATGCAACAGGAACAGAGGCACAAGTGAAGAAGTAGCAAAAGAAACCAAAGGGTAGAAGTGATACTGGGCAGAGGAGGCCATCGATTCATGCGATGTTCTGGATAGGTGCGTGCCTCAAAAAAGCTCCTGCGGGCTCTGGCAGTAGTCACAGAAGAACTGAGCAAGAACAGTTTCCGATGGATAGAAACAAGCTTGGATTGACCCAAACAGTCAACAGAGGGCATCGGTAGAATCAATCCCTCAATTCCCTGGGCTCGGATGCAAAAATCGAGGGGGGGGGGGGCGGGCAGAGATTGTGTCCAGGAGAGCAGGAGCACGCCTTGACTCATAGAGGTCCGCCCAGGCCCACCGTTCTCCAAATTGGCAGTCGCGGTGGTTTGGCTAACCGTGTATTCTGAGATGTGGAAAAGGGTCTTTCCAGCGGCCTGAGCTCAGCTTCAGCTCAAGCACCCCTCACCCAGGCGCACCACTTCTCGTTGAAACCTCACTCAGGAAACCTCTTGCACGATCTGCTTTACCATCCAAATCGGCTTTATCCCAAAGGTCTCATGCCTCCAGTGGAAAGCCCTTCACTCCTTCCAAGAGGTGCGAAGGGCCTCCTAAACCCTCCATCTGGTTAAGAAGACCTCATCCCCGCCTTCTCTTTTCCAGATCCTGTTGTCCTGGGTCCTTCCCAGCAAGCCCCACCCTACCTTTCAGACCTCATCTCCTACTGTTCTACTTGAAAGCTTCGCTCCAGCCTACTTCAAAACCCAAACCAAGACCTGTTGCTATTGAGAGGCTTCTAATGGAATCCTGGCTAGATTCTTTTCTGAAGTAGATCGCTGCATCTTTCTTTTGAGACACCACTGGGTGGGTACCAACTACCAACCTTTGGGCTTGTGGCCACATACAGCACCCTGGGACTTCCAGCCAGTGGCCCCTTCAACAAACATTCTTGATTTTCCTACTTCCATGGGTTTCCTTTTTGTCCTCCTCTAGAAGGAGTCCCAAGGATCCCTGGTAGTGGAGAAGTTATGTGTTGGGCTACTAACTACAAGGGCATCAGTTTGAAACCACCAGATCACAGTGTGGTGGGAGAAAGACGAGGCTTTCTACTCCCATAAAGAGTTACAGTCTTGGAAACTCACAGGGACCATTCTATCCTGTCTTACAGGGTCACTGTGAGTCAGCATTGACCTGGTGGCAATGAGTTTGGTTTTGGTTGGCAGAATTAGCCCTTACCTGTGGGCCCACGGTGAGTTGGCCTCTGATCAGTGGTAACTAGTGTTCCCCTTGCGTGAGCTGAATCCTATTCATTCCTCAGAGCCCTGTCCTTGTCTCTCCACTTTGAGAAAACTGCCAAGTGGACCACTCTTCCCTCTCTTGCCCTGACTGTGCTCCCTTCTTAGGAACGTCTCTACAAATTGGGAGCGCTGAGTTTTCTCTGCTCATGTGCACGCCTCCTCCACAGAAGAGCAGCGAGGCTACCTCCTAGCCTCTGTGTTCCTCCCAGGTGCCCGCACACCCAGGAAACTTGGTGGCTCAGTGACTAGGTGCTCCATTGCTCGCCAAAGGACAGGCAGTTCAAACCCACCAGCCGCTATGTGGTAGGAGGAGGAGGAAAAGAAGAAGGAGGAGGAGGAGACGAAGAAGGAGAAGGAGGGGGAGACGAAGAAGCAGCAGCAGCGATGGCGGTGGCGGCAACAGTTGGCTCCTGTAAAGAGCACAGCTTTGCAAACTCTATGACACAGTTCTACTCGGACCTACAGGGCCGTGAGGAGGAGTTGGACTCACTCTACGGCAGTGGGTTTGGCTTGTGCGTCATAAGCCCTTGGTAGATATTTGTTGAATGGCGAGTTGATTGAGAAAAGCCCTTCCTCCCTGAAGGATGAAGACTCATGGCTGTCTTCTCAGCAGGGCTGTGCTAGCAGGATTCACCTGGATCACATGAGAAATGAACAGGTGCTGCAAGCATGCACCAGCCTGCATTCTACAGAATCCCTTGAGGAAGACCCAAGTCACTTTAGTTCAGGTTCAAATTAAACTCCAGTCATCATGCCCATCAGCTATTTTATATGCCCTTTTAGAAGCTTGTCCCTTTACCACACAAGCACAAAGGCTCCTATTTTCTTTCAACACTGTAGATGGCAGTTTCTTGCCATTTTAAGCCCTGGATGTCCTCTGGCAAGTCCCGTTTACAACACTGAAAAGGCAGTTTTCTTACCCAGGCCCTCTTGCTTTATGAAGCAGGAATATTACATAGGGGTGAACATTCAGCCTGCGGTGCTTTTTCTACTCAAGGGACAGGCTGAAGCAGGCATAATGACTAAAAGACCATGAGACTTTCATGCAACACGAGTTCCCATGACAAAGTTTACATGGGCAAAGTTTTCAGAGCATAAACATTTTTGTGGAAATGGGCTCATTCAAACCTGTGCTCCAAAGCAGCTGTAAACACCTAGCAATTATTGCAACCACAAAGAGACAGGTAGACTCGGGGCACGGATCTATAATAACATGCTTTATCATTTCTTGGGAACTATTTTTGCTTTTCTGTATCAACAAGAAGACAACCAATAATCTCAAAGAACTGAAAGTGGCCATCTAAAACCAGAACTTCAAAACCAAAACAAAACCAAAAAACTTCCTTTCAAATCCTAAAGAATGCAATGGGGAAGGGTCAGGGGGCATGTGTCCCTCTGAATTGTCACTGATTCATGCCCAGGAAAGCTGGTCCCAATGTGGACATCCCCTTTCCAGCGTGTCAAGGTAGTTCAACCACCAGGCCTGTTCCTATCTCAATGTGGCTTCTGTATCTTCTATGGGGAGGGACTTCACAAGTATTCCTGTTTGATTTACTGATTTACAAGAGATTGGAGGCAGGATAGAACACAGCTGTGAGATTCTGGAAACCAAGGAGCTGTTTCTGCTCAGATCATCATGAGCACCCACACAAGGGGCCTTAGGGTGCCCAGGGGAAGAGCTACTGCCCCAGCAGAGTTGCAAGCTGCCTTCAGAAGGAGGTTCCGGGGGCAGGGGCTCCAGATCTCAGCGTTTCCGGTGGCTTTGCCTGCCTTGACTGGGAAATAATGCATTCCGTACAAACAAAAACCAAAGAGTTTGAAGAAACCCATGTGTCCCGATATAATGACTCATTTGAGGGTGTGTCTCTTTTGAACTGGCATGCTCCACAAAAAGAACCTGGTGGTGTCGTGGGTTACATGTTGGGCAAGGTCAGCAGTTGGATAGCCCCAGCACTCAGGGGAAAGAAGAGGCTTTCCACTCTCATCAAGAGTGACACTCTGGGAAATCCACAGGGGCAGTTCTACCTGGTCTTACGGGATGGGTTGGAGGTGGAATCGACTGGATGGCAGGGAGTTTGCTTTTTGGTAATTTCCCACATCTTCCAGACATTGAGTACAGCGCCCACAGTCACAGGGGAACTGGGCCCTCCCAGGACACTCGGAATGGGCCTGGTCCAGGTGTCAGCTTTTGTGCTCAAAGAAAAAGTTGGGGGGTGGATACAAAACGATTCACCAAAATTCCTTTTAGCGCGCATGAGTAGCTGTTACCTTGCTTGCTCTCAGAGTACAATAAAAAGTCTGCACACTGCTGCTAAAAAAGGTGGCTTGACCTTTTAAAATGGGAACGTCCCCGCCCCACATGCATATTAACAGTGAACCCTGGGAGTGCTATAGTTTTACATTAGTAAAAGAAATGGGCTGGCTTTCCAGAAAAAAGGGTTTCCTACAGACTCCTGGCATATTAGGGTGCACCGTACCTGTACTATATATATCATCATTATCTGGAGAAAAGCTGGCCCCGAAGCTTTTAGCCACTGTAGCTGCCCACTCACTGTTCACAGTCTAGTTTTGGAAAAGGCGGGCGAGGGGTTAATAAACAATTAGCAATCAAAGTCCAGGACGCGCCCTCCCGCAGCCTGAGGTTGCACGCAGGCGATGGAGTCCCGGCGGCCAAGAAGCCGCGGCGATTCTGGGTCTCCACCGCAGCCGCCAAGCCTCGCGCGCACTGAGCAGCGCTGCTGAAAGTAGTTGGAGAGCTCCCAGCTCGCCGGCAGGATTCGGCGGTGGGCGCAGGGAATCCCTTCCAAGCACCGCAATTAGGAAAGTTTTGGAGAGTAAGTAAAAAGCCTAGAGAGAAGAGACCGACTCTTTTCTTGAGCCCCCAAAACACCCCGAGTCACGGCAGCTGGAGGCTGCGCCCACAAGGCCATCCGTCCAGCCCGGCCAGGGCGCGCCCTGTGCCTTCCCCTTCCCCACCAGCAGAACTCGTCCAGAGGGCGCGGGGCCAAGGGCAGTGCTGCCCGTTCAAGGTTCCGTAGGCCTGAGGAGATTGAGCCGGTGTTGGCAGTCCAGGGGAAGGGCAGAACCAAGTCCCGCTCGGAACGCTTGCACCTTCCCCTTCACGTTCGCTCAGGTTTCTCCAAAGCACATGCGGCAAGGCTCACACATCCTCTCCTATGCACTCCTCTCCCTCTCTACACGTCACCCCAAACTCTTCCCGGGAACCCCCACGAAGAATAGACGGCACCCCCAAACTCCCAGGGCACCCGCCAGCTACCTACCCCCCGCACCTGCTCCTCACCAACCCCCCGTGTCGCGTTCTTAGCGCACCGCGCGGTTCGTGTTAACCGGGAGTCAGAAGCAAACCACCAGAAAAATGCCTTCGCGAGGAGCCTCCCTGCACCCGCCCAGTCACTGAAACAAAAGCGGAGGGAGGAGGGAGGTGGGAGAGGAGGCGGGAGGAAGGTTTAGAAAGAGGACGAGGAAGACGTAAGAAGGCGCTGGGGCAAAGGGACAGGGTGGGGACCGGAGACTGGGGCCGGGGACCCCGCTCCGGCTCCGCGCGGCCGGTCGCTTACATGCCCAGGTCGCTGTAGGTGTTGAAGAACTCCATCTGGTTGCACGCCTGGATCCAGCCCACCACCCAGGTCTCGTGGCGGGGGATGGGGGGCATGACCACGCGGGCCGAGGCTTTGAAGTAGGGGGTCTTGTAGCGCAGGACGATGGGCGAGGTCTCCTCGATGCGCGTGGGGCACTGGTCGATGGTGGCACACACATCGTACACCACGATATTCTCGCGCCGGATCCGCGCCTTGCAGGTGATGCTTTGGATACAGCCCATCCTGCCGCCTGGCGCCCGTGCGGCGCGGCGCGGGGC